CCAGCCTTGGAGTTGAAGTCCACATGTCTTAAAGTTGCCAAGGTTGAGAAACACTGTTCTAGGGTCTTACCTATACAGCCACTTTTGCTGTTATTTCTTCCTCCTGTCTAGGGGTCTGGAAAGATTTCTGATATCTCAAATGTTGCTGCCTCCATAATGCACCTTTACTGCAGATCTGAAATGTGCACACAGCTGGAGCACATGACATTGTAAGATCAGGGATTGGTAGCTCCCCTGACTGAAATTTGAACATCACCAAATGCAGGAAAAATGTCTACTAGCTGCCATACAGAACGTTGGATGGTCCTTAGAAGGCCAGTGCTTGGACCCCTGACCCAATCCATCTTCTTTCTCTTTTTTCCCCCCAAAGGACTGGGGGAGATTCTTTCCACTTTGAGGCATGCAAACCTTCTATGAGCCATTTGCAAAATTCTTTCCCTTTCTCTAAGCCTGCCCTATAATATTGAAAACTCACTTCCTACCTGAGGAAACTATCAGGAATTTAGCAAACAAGCCAACTACTGCCTCTCATGGGGCAACTGATAAATTGGTGGAGATACAGTGAACTTTAACATTCTTTTAACTGCACAGTTTGGACCTTTTCCATTTGTCTTGTTTCCTAACATAAGCTACTTCTTTGGAACCTTGTTCTACATCCTGAATTTGCAAGCAAGATGTCCTTAATCTTCAATTGCTAGGTTTCCAGAGGAAATAGAATAGGCATGGCTCTGCCAGACTGATAGATCTATTTCCTTATCAAAGAGTATTTGCTCCAAAGTATCCAGACCCCATCTTTATTTCTGAATCCTCCAGTCTTTTGGAAACAGATGGAAAGAGGAGGTAGGATATTTCCTAAATGCAAGTATCTTTGATCCAAAGAAAGCCTGAGTCAACCACAATGTGTTGTGGTTTGTTGTAACTGGTTGTGTCCATTCTTGATTTTCTAAACTCCTGTGCTGTCCTTTTTCTTCCTTCACTCCTTCTCTCTTTATCTTTTCTCTCATTTTATCTGAAGCATAATCAAGGAAAAACATGCATTTACCC